GATGGGACTACTGGATTCTAACTCACCTTTGCCTTACAAAGAGATATGACTTCCGGACTTACCTTTGCCTTACAATGAGATAAGACATCTCCAGACAGAAGGCCTATTGTTTCTGGTGTGGAAGGAAGCACGTTACAGATGTAGTCACAGTTTTGGAGAATGTCAGCCAACTGGTCAGTTGTCCTGCAAGATAACCAATCATTGTCCGTATCCGGTACACAGTAAATAGAGTGTGTAATATAAAACTTCAATAAAGTACAGAAAATTATAAAACAGTTCAATGAATATAAAAGGGATACTTGATCTATAAATATGAAATTCTATCGTTGTTTTGCATTTATTTCCATTTATCAAGTTATCAAAGTCGGTGCGATGTTTAGGTCTAAATGATGTTAATGCTTTAGAGAAGGCATACCTATAAGCGTCTAAGGGACCATGGTTATTAGATATCGGAGATCTTGTCAGTCCCCAAACTTCCATACCGACTGCCTTACATAAGGTGCCGACTGAAATGTCAAGAACATAAATAATATAAGTAAAAGTTTGTTTCGGTAACAATGCGATTTTGTCCACAGTGCTCCTAAAGACTACTCGGGTCTCAATGGGGGTTCAGCCCCATATCGGATTTAGATTCTGATCCCCAACTCAGATTGCATCCTCGATATCCAGGGGTTACGCTCATTTTCGCTCTCTGTACCCCTGGAATATGTCATAGCAAAGTTGAAGGCTCAGTGTGCGCTACCTTGTTGATGAGACAAGAAAACAAGTTAGATTCTTTGAAGTGGGCGTCTCTCCTTTGTAACCTTCAAAGGACAGTTATCAGCCTAGCGATTGGTCAGGGGTTTTTTTACCTTATACCAATCAAATAGCTATCTTTGTGTCTTCAATTTTGCTTTGACATAGTCCAGGGGTGCAGAGAACGAAAATGAGCGTAACCCCTGGATGTCGAGGATGCTCAGATTGATGATTACCATCAAGGTTCATGAAGGTCTGACATACGAATTCTGAGGAGAATTCGAAAATGTGATTGTTGGGGATTGTTTCAGGTTTTGCATTAAGTCGCGGTCACGTAACGGTAAAACTTGTAGTCTTCAACGGATAAGTATCAGCCTAGTGATTGGTCAGGGTTTTTCACCCGACACCAATCTATAAGCTAGCCGCATGCCTTCACTTTCGCTGACATATAGAAAGCGAAAGTGGGCGTAACCCCTGGATATCGAGGATGTGGATGGCAAACTCTTGATCAGGGCGGTAATATGCAGACCATCCGGTTTGTCCGTTTTTAAATGTAACAATTTCGTGTAAGAATTCTGGCGGACCTGCAAATATTTATGCAGGCCTTGCAAGGCTTTGTCAAGGCTCACCTGAAAGCAGCCTCATAAACGAACAACAATGGTCCGACCGGTTCAACCGTTTAAAAGGAAACTTTCTAAGTCCGTGGTAAAAGTCTTCTATCTAAGTCTGTGGTAAAAGTCTTCTATGTAAGTCCGTGGTAACAGTCTTCTATGTAAGTCCGTGGTAAAAGTCTTCTATCAATGTCTGTGGTAAAAGTCTTCTTTCTAAGTCTGTAGTAAAAGTCTTCTATCTAAGTCTGTGGTAAAAGTCTTCTTTCTAAGTCCGTGGTAAAAGACTACTTTCTAAGTCTGTAGTAAAAGTCTTCTTTCTAAGTCCGTGGTAAAAGTCTTTTATCTAAGTCTGTGGTAAAAGTCTTCTTTTTAAGTCTGTGGTAAAAGTCTTCTTTTTAAGTCTGTGGTAAAAGTCTTCTTTCTAAGTTCATGGTAAAAGTCTTCTATCTAAGTCCGTGGTAAAAACCTTCTTTCTCAGTCCGTGGTAAAAATATTTTTTAATTCTGTAGTAAAAGTCTTCTTTCTAAGTCTGTGGTAAAAGTCTTCTTTCCAAGTCCGTGGTAAAAGTCTTCTGTCTAAGTCTGTAATAAAAGTCTTCTTTTTAAGTCTGTGGTAAAAGTCTTCTTTCTAAGTCCGTGGTAAAAGTCTTCTTTCTAAGTCTGTAGTAAAAGTCTTCTTTCTAAGTTCATGGTAAAAGTCTTCTATCTAAGTCTGTAGTAAAAGTCTTCTTTCTAAGTCCGTGGTAAAAGTCTTCTTTCTAAGTCTGTAGTAAAAGTCTTCTTTCTAAGTCCGTGGTAAAAGTCTTCTTTCTAAGTCTGTAGTAAAAGTCTTCTTTCTAAGTCCGTGGTAAAAGTCTTCTATCTAAGTCTGTAGTAAAAGTCTTCTTTCTAAGTCCGTGGTAAAAGTCTTCTTTCTAAGTCCGTGGTAAAAGTCTTCTAGTATCAAAGTCCTTGGTAAAGGCAAAGGAGGATTTTAACTCAATGTCAAACAAGATCAGATCGAAAGCTTTTGAACATGTTGGAGAAGATAAAAAAAAAACATTTGTCGTTTTTATTAAAAGCAACGAATGTGTTTTGATAAACTACAACGGGATGATATCAGCAGAATAACCAGGCTTACCAGAATAAAAATCACAACAACAGTAAGAATATTACTTGTACGTAAACCTGAAATTTTCAAAATTGTCATGGAAACAGTGGAAAGCAAATTGATGCGTCGAAGTGTAGGAAACCTATCTCAGACTTTGATCATGTACCTGCAACATGAGACAAGTAACCTCAAAGAGTGCCAGTCTACAAGTGGCCATGTTCCATAATTCAAATGTTTAGCTAGTGAAAAAACGTTCGTTTTGAAGCCTGCTTAACTTCTTTCAGCTCTTAATTAATTGTTAACTTCACCACGATCATCTGCAAACTTTTTAGTTATTACCAGGTATACATATTATATCAGAGTAAGAACGTGGGATTTTTAGTTATTACCAGGTATACATATTATATCAGAGCAAGAACGGGGGATTTTAGTTATTACCAGGTATACATATTATATCAGAGTAAGAACGGGGGATTTTACTTGCATTTATTACATCTGTCATTGGACAAGAGGAAATTAGCGGTTACTGTTTGAAATATATGAAGATGAAATATTTTACACTGAAATAAATCAATATCAGCATCTTGAAACAGCAAATAAGAGTTATTTCTAAAGAACATCATTGTTAACTCTAGCATAAAGTGTCCACTGAAGCATGGAAGTGCTGTGTTAAAATGCCAGATATTAATTTGGTGTTAGTGGGGGACATCACTCATTAGACATACAGACTTAAATTTTACACAGGACTGTTCATGTCCCTGCAACACGGAAACATCAATGAAAAGGATGTAACCCATGCTATAAGTATAGAAACATGTACATACTTTGGTTGCCGATCTGTCCCGCTCCCAGTATACCAAGTCGTAGCTGTGACAGCGACCGGACATCTTGTTTGTACAGGTGCCTGAAGGGGAAGACATTTTCACAACACAAATGTTTTTTTGTTTGTTTTAAAACCTAGTTTTGTTTAAAGACAGCAATTGGATTAACTTGTCCAAGTTAAGTTGTTCACTAACATTTTAAGCTTTATACTAATATTTTTAAGATGTAAACTAGAATTTGTCATGGCCATTGATTTTTACCACTAGAAATATAGAGAAGATAATCTTAATATATCTGCCTTTTTTTCGAATAGAAATATGGATGTTAATATCTAATACAGCAAATACATTTTCCTATTAATTTCATTCTCTTTTGAAACATTGTGCGAGTACAATTCTACTCACGGCCTCCAGTCCTTTGCTTTTTGATCATCAGCCAACTGTAAAAATCTTCTTTCTATCGAAATTATATGACCAAGGACATATTCTGCCATAAAATTGCCGAATCCACTTCCGGTTCTTGTGACAATAACATCCGGTGGCTGTAGTAGAAGACATTGTTGTTCTCATAGGGGGAAAACATGCACACTTACATTGACGGGGAAAACATGTACACTTACATTGACGGGGGAAAACATGTACACTAACATTTACGGGGGAAAACATGTACACTTACATTGACGGGGGAAAACATGAACACTAACATTGACGGGGGAAAACATGTAAACTAACATTGACGGGGGAAAACATGTACACTTACATTGACGGGAGAAAACATGTACACTAACATTGACGGGGGAAAACATGTACACTAACATTGACGGGAGAAAACATGTACACTTACATTGACGGGGGAAAACATGTACACTAACAGTGACGGGGGAAAACGTGTACACTAACATTGACGGGGAAAACATGTACAATTACATAGGGGGAAAACATGTACACTAACATTGAGGGGGAAAACATGTACACTTACATTGACGGGAGAAAACATGTACACTAACATTGACGGGAAAAACATGTACACTTACATTGACGGGGGAAAACATTTACACTAACATTGACGGGGGAAAACATGTACACTTACATTGACGGGAGAAAACATGTACACTAACATTGACGGGGGAAACATGTACACTAACATTGACGGGGGAAAACATGTACCCTAACATTGACGGGGGAAACATGTACACTAACATTGACGGGGGAAAACATGACCACTAACATTGACGGGGGAAAACATGTACACTAACAGTGACGGGGGAAAACGTGTACACTAACATTGACGGGGAAAACATGTACACTTACATTGACGGAGGAAAACATGTACACTAAAATTGACGGGGAAAACATGTACACTTACATTGACGGGGTAAAACATGTACACTAACATTGACGGGAGAAAACATGTACACTTACATTGACGGGGGAAAACATGTAATGTACACTTACATTGACGGGGGAAAACATGTAATGTACACTTACATTGACGGGGGAAAACATGTAATGTACACTTACATTGACGGGGGAAAACATGTAATGTACACTTACATTGACGGGGGAAAACATGCACACTTACATTGACGGGAGAAAACATGTACACTAACATTGACGGGGAAAACATGTACACTTACATTGACGGAGGAAAACATGTACACTAACATTGACGGGTAAAACATGTACACTTACATTGACGGGGGAAAACATGTAATGTACACTTACATTGACGGGGGAAAACATGTAATGTACACTTACATTGACGGGGGAAAACATGCACACTTACATTGACGGGAGAAAACATGTACACTAACATTGACTGGGAAAACATGTACACTTACATAGGGGGAAAACATGTACACTTACATTGAGGGGGGAAAACATTTACACTTACATTGAGGCTGGAAAACATGTACATTTACATAGGGGGAAAACATGTACACTTACATTGACGGGGGAAAACATTTACACTTACATTGACGGGGGAAAACATGTACACTTACATAGGGGGAAAACATGTACACTTACATTTCAGAAATAAGTATCTGTTTTAGGACCAATAATGATAAAGGACGGACTCATGAGTAACTTGTTTCTAGGCAAAAGTGCCAAAACTTTTTTTAATCCTGGCGTAACTTACCTGCCGCGGATCGACGATTTTTATGAGAGGCTCAACGCCTGGAAAAAAAACCCATTAAGTATGGCTTGGTTTCAAAACATACATATACTTGAAAAATTTGACTATTTTGTCATTTAGAATGTTTGCATTCTCATATTTTAGCTTTTGAAGTTACATTACATGCATCGACTATTTCGTTTTGAGCACACATATATTTATATACCATTAGTTAGCGCTGTAAATAAAAGGGCTTCTCAGAAATAATGCGAAATTCATTAAAATAATTTTCTTAGATAAAAAAAATAATAATACGTTATTGCATTAACGAAACTAAACGATTGTACACCAGTTTTCACAACGTTACAAAGGCCCTCTCCACAAATCAACTATAAAATTGAGAAATAGCATCACATTGATGACAATAACAAATTTACACGAACCAAAATACATATCTGAAAGTTACCACAAACATGTGCTCCGAATCGACGCTAATTTGTTTGTGATGCACTTTCTACTCATAGGACTTTCCATAGCTCAACTCGATCATCCTGTTTACAGGCAAAAACCGAAACCACGTTGCACAAATAATTAGCCAGCCTTAAAACGAGAGTAGTTTCATACTGGCAATTCTCTCAAAGGCAAGTACGAGAGCGGTCATATACCTGCCCACGTGCTGTGAGCCCACTTGAGTCTGGGACTGGTAAACAGCGCCGATTTGATGATAGGCACATCAGCGAATAATACCTCAGCATTGTCTCTCAGATCAGCCCAATCCTCGTCAGACAAGTTATCTGTAAGAGAATGAACGAATAAATTTTAAAAAAAAAATGGTCGTTAAATGACAGTTACGTAATACTGTGCTTCAAAATATGGCCGTCAATCACGGGAAGGTACATAATTATACGATTACGTAATAAATTAGATAAACAAGGATAACAGTTTTTTCGGCATCAGCATACATCATATTCATTTGTAACTTAAGACTTATAGACATTCCTCCCTATAGTTTTCCCCAGACTGGTAGACAACTATTTTGTTTGAAAAATGAGATTGTAATAATATTGTCAGATAGAAGCTTTCATTTTTTGTGAAAAAAAAATTAATCAGTAGTAGGTAGATACACGAGTTTTTGAATTATACCTTTCGATTATTTTTCTAATAAAATAAAAAAAAAAAAATACTGGCCAGTGTGGGGGTCGAACCCACGACATTCGCGTTATTAGCACGACGCTCTAACCGACTGAGCTAACCGGCCGACATGAATATCATTAGTAAAAGACATTGTGCTTATAAATAAGTCATGTATGTATGAATTAAGACATGCATGACGTGTTGAAATAGATATATAATTACTGTTGTTTGATTTTACGTATTTCTTATTTTATCATATCCATGTTAAAGTAGTTATATATCCATCTGGGTTTTCGGCTAATACCAGTCCTACTTGATAATCAACTTGTTGAACGACTAAAGGGAAGTAACCGCAACATTCGATATTTTCCTATAAATAGGATGATGATAGTACACTAAATGAAGATCGAAGTACACTCAATTAACAATAATAGCATACAAAGGCCTACGCGTAATATGAATTGTGCAAAAAGCCGACTAATTACTTTGATGGAGTAGCCTGAAATCACCGGGCAATATTTGTTGGGGTGCAAATCATTCAGTCACACAGTAGTACGATTTCTTTCACATTCCAATTATCCCTCAAAAGTAAACGTAGATTTTTACCTCCAGGTTGTAGACTTAAATCCTTAACTTCCACTTTTGGTAACAGCCGAGCGACGACACCGGCCAGATCTTTAATAGAACTTGCTACAAATACAGCCGGTCGACATCCCGACATTGTTGTTATGTGATAACCGTATTTAATTCCCTGTAAAAAGTTCCGACATGTACTAAGGTCGTTCTTATTTAAATTGACTTAAGGCACGTCGGTTCTAGGTCTTGGCTATTTTGCAGTAAATATACCACTAAAAGTATAACGATGACTAGTCACAGGCAACATGTCGTAATATGACTAACATGTCGTCTAAAATAAGGGGAAAGCAACATGAAGGTCAATTGCTCAATGTTTGGTTAGCTTACATGTTTTCAACATGACATTTTGTGAGAAAGATCTGACCATTCGCAACGATTCTACATATTCTCTATAGGTGTGATAATTTTTTGTATTAAGGTAAAGAATCTCTACAGATCGAATAAAAGATGAGATTTATATACATGATGTGTATGTTTGAAAATATAGATCTATTTGCTCCCTGTGTACTGGTGTCGTAAGATACAGTAAAACCCCTCGTTTCATTTGCTCCTTGTATACTGGTGTCATTGTAAGATACAGTAAAACCTTTCGTTTCATTTTCTCCCTGTATACTGGTGTCATGATAAGATACAATAAAACCCCTCGTTTCATTTGCTCCCTGTATCCTGGTGTCATTGTAAGATACAGTAAAACCCCTCTTTTCATTTACTCCCTGTATACTGGTGTCATTGTAAGATACAACAAAACCTCCCGTTTCATTTGCTCCCTGTATACTGATGTCATTGGCAGATACAATAAAACCCCTCGCTTCATTTGATCCTTGTATACTGGTGTCATTGTAAGATACAGTAAAACCCCTAGTTTCATTTGCTCCCTGTATACTGGTGTCATTGTCAGATACAGTAAAACCCCTCGTTTCATTTGCTCCCTGTATACTGATGTCATTGGCAGATACAATAAATCCCCTCGTTTCATTTGCTCCTTGTATACTGGTGTCATTGTAAGATACAGTAAAACCTCCCGTTTCATTTGCTCCCTGTATACTGATGTCATTGGCAGATACAATAAAACCCCTCGTTTCATTTGCTCCCTGTATCCTGGTGTCATTGTAAGATACAGTAAAACCCCTAGTTTCATTTGCTCCCTATATACTGGTGTCATTGTAAGATACAGTAAAATCCCTCGTTTCATTTGCTCCTTGTATACTGGTGTCATTGTAAGATACAGTAAAACCCCTAGTTTCATTTGCTCCCTATATACTGGTGTCATTGTAAGATACAGTAAAACCTTTCGTTTCATTTGCTCCCTGTATACTGATGTCATTGGCAGATACAATAAAACCCCTCGTTTCATTTGCTCCCTGTATACTGTTGTCCTTGTCAGATACAGTAAAACCCCTCGTTTCATTTGCTCCTGGGATACTGGGGGCAAGGTAAGATACAGTAAAACCCCTCGTTTCATTTGCTCCTTGTATACTGGGGTCATTGTAAGATACATTAAAACCCCTCGTTTCATTTGCTCCCTGTATACTAGTGTAATTGTAAGATACAGTAAAACCCCTCGTTTCATTTGCTCCTGGGATACTGGGGGCAAGGTAAGATACAGTAAAACCCCTCGTTTCATTTTCTCCCTGTATACTGGTGTCATTGTAAGATACAGTAAAATCCCTCGTTTGATTTGCTCCCTGTATACTGGTGTCATTGTAAGACACAGTAAAACCTCTCGTTTCATTTGCTCCCTGTATACTGGTGTCCTTGTCAGATACAGTAAAACCCCTCGTTTCATTTGCTCCTGGGATACTGGGGGCAAGGTAAGATACAGTAAAACCCCTCGTTTCATTTGCTCCCTGTATCCTGGTGTCATTGTAAGATACAGTAAAACCCCTAGTTTCATTTGCTCCCTATATACTGGTGTCATTGTAAGATACAGTAAAACCTTTCGTTTCATTTTCTCCCTGTATACTGGTGTCATTGTAAGATACAGTAAAACCTTTCGTTTCATTTGCTCCCTGTATACTGATGTCATTTGCAGATACAATAAAACCCCTCGTTTCATTTGATCCTTGTATACTGGTGTCATTGTAAGATACAATAAAACCTCTCGTTTCATTTGCTCCCTCTATACTGGTGTCATTGTAAGATACAGTAAAACCTTTCGTTTCATTTGCTCCCTGTATACTGATGTCATTTGCAGATACAATAAAACCCCTCGTTTCATTTGCTCCCTGTATCCTGGTGTCATTGTAAGATACAGTAAAACCCCTAGTTTCATTTGCTCCCTATATACTGGTGTCATTGTAAGATACAGTAAAACCCCTAGTTTCATTTGCTCCCTATATACTGGTGTCATTGTAAGATACAGTAAAACCCCTAGTTTCATTTGCTCCCTATATACTGGTGTCATTGTAAGATACAGTAAAATCCCTCGTTTCATTTGCTCCTTGTATACTGGTGTCATTGTAAGATACAATAAAACCTCTCGTTTCATTTGCTCCCTGTATACTGATGTCATTGGCAGATACAATAAAACCCCTCGTTTCATTTGCTCCTTGTATACTGGTGTCATTGTAAGATACAATAAAACCTCCCGTTTCATTTGCTCCCTGTATACTGATGTCATTTGCAGATACAATAAAACCCCTCGTTTCATTTGCTCCCTGTATCCTGGTGTCATTGTAAGATACAGTAAAACCCCTCGTTTCATTTTCTCCCTGTATACTGGTGTCATTGTAAGATACAGTAAAACGCCTCGTTACATTTGCTCCCTGTATACTGGTGTCATTGTCAGATACAGTAAAACCCCTCGTTTACAGCCAATATATTTCACTGTTCCCTTTTCTCGTTTTCTGAATCATTTCATTATACATCTCCTTCTTTTTATCGCCTAAAACTTTTATAACGCCAACTTTTCTCTGGATAATTACTGACAGTGTAACGGAATTTTACTGGTTATTGATATATAAAGGGGAACCTGAAGACCGAATTCTGATTAGATTGTCGCTGAACGGGACGAGGTCATACTTCTGCTTCGAGAGAAGAGGGAAAAAGGGAAAAATGTATATGAAACAATGTCGTGTCTTCGCCATAACGGTCTTCAAAGAAACTAGATAGAAGGACAACACATCAGCAAGGCTTCAAAATCAACGACTAAACAACTAAATCCAGCTATCGGCGATAGGGATGACCATTACTCCTTTTGGACAATGGATGGAAATTGACACACAGTTCTTTGTAATACTATGTAAAAATACATACACTATATTTATATTTCGTTATTTCAAATACACTAGATATAACAATATTATTCAAATTTATATTTAAATACACTCTATATACACTAGAAATATATTTCGTTATTTTAAATACACTAGATATTACAATATTATTTATATTTATATTTAAATACACTCTATATACACTAGAAATATATTTCGTTATTTTAAATGATGAAAATTTTGATAAAGACATGTCAATTTGTAAAGGACTATTATTGTGGACCGGTTAGAACCCCACTGAATGCCTGTTATAAAATGAGACAAAATTGATATATATCCTTTGATATGTCCAAACCTAGCACTTTTCGCATTGGTCAGTGAAATAATATCTGCCGTTCAAGGTAATTCAGACGGGTTTATTTTTAGCTTTTAATAGAGAAGTTTGACCAAAGATAATTTTGCTGCGACCATTGATCTATAAGTCGTTCGAAATAAGATAAAAAAATAACGAGTAAAATACCAACACATGTGTTGGTCATTCTTCTTCTTGTTATACGGTAGGCGTATTTTTTGTCATTCCTTCCTTTTGTTCTGAAAGATATTAAACACTTCGTCATCCTCATCATTTCGCGATTCCCCATAGTAAATGTGCTAAAAGATAAAAAGAAGAGAATTAACAAGCATTCACGTCCTGTTGGGGCGAACAACGAAATGATAAATCTTGGATGAACCATAATATCAGAACTAAAATGAGGCAAAGAAATAGAATTCATAAAAAGGCAAAAGTAACCAATAATCCCGATCACTGGACGCGCTTTAGAATAATTAGGAATGAAGTAATCAGCCTTATTCGAGAAGCAAAATCTAATTTCATTGTTAAACTTCAAAATTCTCTTGATGATAAAAATATACCCCCTGATAAATGGTGGAAAATAGCTAAAACCATTTTAAAATTTAACAATAAGTCATCCACTATTCCCCCCCTGGAATCAAATGGTGAATTTTTTTATCACCCGAGTGAAAAAGCTGCCTGTCTAAATAAATACTTCACTTCTATCTCATCTTCATCTAACAACCTTGAACTTCCTGATGATGTAATTGTGGAACTTCCTTACTCCATATCAAATATTCAAATAACTAGTCAGGATGTCAAAGATCAGTTAGAAAACATGAATGAAAAAAACCCATCTGGACCTGATGGCTTAGTTCCTAAAGTTGTTAAAAAGTTAACACCATCTCTTATTCTGCCACTTAAACTATTATTTAACAAAACTTTAGACTCTAGTCTTCTGCCAAATTCCTGGAAAATGACCAATGTTAATGCTATTTTCAAAGGCAGTGGCTCTAGGAGTAATACTGCTAACTATAGACCAATTTCTATTACCTCTTGTATTTGTAAACTTATTGAAAAGATTTTATTTAAATACCTATACAACTATCTTATATCAAATAACATTTTATCGAACAATCAGTCCGGCTTTAGACCCGGTGACTCCACTGTAAACCAACTATTATCTATTTATCATGAAATATCAAAAAATTTAGACACAGGTAAAGAAGTTAGGTTTGTATTTTGTGATATAAGCAAGGCCTTTGATAGGGTTTGGCATACAGGTCTTGTTAAAAAATTAAGTAATTATGGAATCAAAGGTAAATTATTATCTTGGATCCATAATTACCTTTCTGACAGGAATCAACGAGTAAGTACTGAAGGTTTCTATTCCCCATACTTAACTGTTAATGCAGGAGTCCCCCAGGGATCAGTTCTGGGTCCATTATTATTTTTATTATATATAAATGACATTACTGATCTTGTTTCAAGTAAAGTAAAACTCTTTGCTGATGATACCTCTCTATATGTCATTGTTGATAACAATCCTGATCAGTCTGCACAACTTCTTACAGATGATTTAAAACATATTAGTGAATGGGCTAAACTATGGGATGTAAATTTCAATCCAACAAAAACAAAATCTGTATTATTCTCCAGGAAAAAAGAAGTTGCTTTACCACCAATTTTATTTCAAAATGATGTAATTTCTAATGAATCCACTCATAAACACTTAGGTGTAACTCTTAATGAAAATGGTACCTGGGAATCCCATATACAAACTATTTATGAAAAAGCATATACTAGAATAAATATACTACGCTGTTTGAAATATAAACTTAGCAGAGAAACTCTTATAAAAATATATTTTGCATTCATAAGACCTTTACTTGAATATGCTGATGTAATTTGGAATAATTGTACAACCCAACTAAAAAAATTACTAGAATCTATCCACCTGGAAGCAGCAAGAATTATAACAGGGCTGAGAAGAGGAACATCACATCACTTACTTTATAGGGAATTAGGGTGGGAACCATTAGAAATTCGTCGGAAAAATCATCAATTGATATTAATGTACAAAATACTACATGGCCATGCACCTTTATACTTGCAAGAATCAATCATCCCTTTTATTAACAATAATGAAGCAAATATACATTCATTGCGTAGAAATAGAATATTTAGCCCTCCACTCTGTAGATCAAACAACTACTATCATAGTTTTTTTCCTTCAATGCTCCGCGAGTTTAATAAACTCTCACCTACTACAGTACAAGCAACCTCCCTTAACATTTTTAAGAAACTTATAAACATGTCAAATATCAGTGAAGAGGAAGATGTGAGCGTTTCAAATGTATTCAAAAATAAAGGATCAAGGAAGGGTAATATCATACTTTGTCAACTTAGAAATGGATGTAGCAACTTAAATTTTGACCTATATATTGATCATTTAAAAGATAATCCTGTGTGTTCTTGTGATTTAAACCATGAAACTGTCTCACATTTTTTTCTTCACTGTCCTCTGTTTTCAGTCCAAAGAGCATTACTAAAAAATGAACTTGAACTTATTGGAAACCATAACCATTTTCATCTCACCAACTTACTATATGGCTGTCAAACATGTAACGAAGGTGTAAATATGGAAATTCTTAGCTCTATCCTAAAATATATAGTTAAAACTAAAAGATTTGTTGAATATCGAGTATAATACCAGGCAACTTGACACATTTTGAGTTAATATATATACACATGTATATATATTTGTAGATAATAACACTTATTTATAAAAACAACATCCATTCGTACAGGAGTGCATCTCTGGCTGGTTATCGTGATATTGTTATGCTTTCCTTTTATATTCTCCCATACTACTTATATCTTTAATTTTTAGTGTACATACTTTAGATCTGCAATTTTTCCATATATGTACTCAAATGCATTACTGTGAATTATACCGCAATAATATTTACTATGGATCCTGTACAGTGTTCAGTTGAAGACCTAAACGTAACACAAGGACTGTGCGGTCTTCAATCTGATATTAAAGCTTGTATACTACATGTATATGCGGTCTATAACCAATATATATATATATATTTTACCTACATTGTATATTGCAGACCAAATCTAATTAATACACTATTCTATGGGAGTTATCCCCCTTCCCCCACCCACACCATATTTTATATAATAACCTCTTAATTATGTAAATATCTAATTAGATTTACAAATGTTAATTTTTGACAGTAAGCAAAATCTTATTATTATAAATTCAATCCATTATGTCCATATACCTACCATCAATGGAGAGGACTTATATAGGCTATAAGCCTGTTGTCCAATCCTTTTGACAGTGTAACATTCTTCTATGTCAATAAAATATGTTGAAATGAAATGAAAGGACGAGAAGTAAATAGATTTAATCTCGACGAAAGGATGAAATGAAACATATCAGCCACTGTGGATCGTTGTAATTGTCTGTTGGGTTTATACGTATAAGTTTAGGAATAGAAGTTTATTATTATTTTACTGCATGGTATTCTTTGTAATGCATTTACTACACATTTACATTCTTGACGTTTGTTCTGTACATGAATCAACCACCTGAAAACAACTGCCATTAGACTATATACGTGTTGTCAGACTGTAGGTCCTGGTATGGACTCTCCGGCAATAATACTGTAGCACTACAATTTCCTGTGATAACGCTTTTGCAATGGATAAAAATAATGTGATATGACACGTTTTGTTTTCGTTAAGTGGGTTTAGCGTCCCATTGACAGCTTTGTCACATTGTTCTCCGAGGGCGCGTTCTCATACCAGATCATTTGACGTCGATATTGTACGTGTATGACGTGCCCAATTTATAACTTATACTATTCATGACGTAAGTGAATGATCTATATCTTTTCTGATTAGGCCGTCTATAAAGGAATCAACGAAAACATTTATATGTAAAGTACACATCACTTTTAAGGTGTATACACGGTAACTAATCAAATATTATGGACATAGATCTACTTTATAGTTTTTTTATGAAAGACAAACAAACACATGCAGAATACGTTTTTATTTGTTGGCATGACAGTACAAATGGTATGTTTTAACTGATATATCGTCATTATATGACTTATCCGACAAGGCATTCTGTATTGTTATTGAGATATAAAAATAATCTAGAAAACAAACGATACTTGCATATACAGTATCTCCCTTGCACCTACAAGAGGGTGAACTTCAGACACAAATAACTTTTTCGTAAATGGTGTAAAAGTACTACATGTGTTTTGGATTGTTAGTAAAGAAACTTTGAATTTGAAATCAGGCTAACATTCTCACCGGATATTTTCTGGGGTACTGTTCGAAAACCGACATTAACGTTACCTCCCTTGACACAAAAAAGCACACAATATCAGTCCTTCTCACATTTGTTGATCCTTGTTAAAAATGTTTCAAACATTTTCTTATAATTGTGTAAGTAATCCGACGATAACGGATGTTTACAGGTTTGTGATAATGTTTTCTTTACTCTGACAAACGTGTGTCATTTTAAATGTGAACCAATGAGTGAAAGACATTATCCGCAGCTGTACTAACGATGAGTCACATTGTAGCGAGGTAAAAAAAAACAACGCGTGTATAACGTGTATAAAATGTGCAGTACACCACTACAACAGGTAAATATTTATTTTCATTCAAATCATAACCCTCGGAACACCTCGTTCATTTCATCATCGCAGACGCGGAAATGACCGATAAGCTCCAAATAATCAGCATAAAACCCCTAACCTGTGTCCTTGTGTAACACGAGGTGGAGCGTGGATGTCTTTAGATATTGTCTCTCGAACCATAAACTAAAACTCATTATACAATCAACACGTTCGGGTTATAAATACACAGGCGTATAACATAACTCTAGAAAGCTCTAACACCTAACCACACGTATGATAAGTCGGATTACATAAAAGGTTACACATTTAACATAGACTTATAGGATGTCCATTCGATACTCTCATCAAAATACAATTGATAATTCAGTCTGAAAAACGTACACTGGTGTCACGTATATTTTTAGATTTTTCACAGTTATTTAGAAAAATAAACAGCATATTTAAGCCAAAATGAGGAGACACAATTCTTTAAATAAATTTGCCCAAATATATCATGCACAATTCAATGAATCAAGTATAAATGTGTTTTATACAAGTTTCGGTGCATTGTACATCGATTCCAATTCTAACAATGACAATTTGTATCAAACGTTAAATAGCACTAGCCTTTATTACGAACGATAAAGTTCTCTATTGTTATCTAACAACACATTGCATTATATAAATACAGTACCCCGAGGCGGAGTAATGTAAGCTCATCACATGTCATAAATATCCTTTGCATAGTTTTTAGTAGAAATAGACGAAGGATACACCTATATGGAAAAATGGACAAGATGGAAAATAATGGAAAAATGACGTGATGAAAATATGCTTAGTTACAGCGGGAGATGAAACAAAGAGCATGATGGTATATTAAAAGTGCACAATATTTGTTATGACTGGATGATATTTCTTCATCTAATCGGCAATCCTCCTGATGTTTCAGAAACAAAAAGGCCCACAGCACTGGGGCGTGAGACGTGAAAGTAAAAACGAGACCTTCTGCCTTTTCCATGAGACATACGTTAGAATTACAAGTTTGCTGAACGTAATGGAAATGGCATGGACGTAATGGTCTAAACAAATTGTAGGAATAACAGAGGAACATAACTCTGTCGAGTGGGGCACAAAACCCGACTCTAGTATAATACAATTCGCCATGTAATGATAAATAAGTAGCGCAAGTTGTTGAACGCAGGTGAATTATAAAGGAAGTCATGTTCTGATCAACTTTAGTATCAAGAATTATATAAGGAGCCACAACTCTACATAGTAGGGCACAAGACCTAATGTAAGCATGTGGTACTCCGCCTTCCTAAGACACATATGCGTATACATTAGCAAGGACGTTATGCCACGGACAAGCTTTGGTGTTGAAATGAACAAAGGGCGATGAATAGATATCTAATGAGACACGTACGTGTACCGAAAATCCGCATTTTATAAATGTATAGCAAGTTTCATGAATGTAAGTGAAATGACAAGACAGTACATGTAATATAATGCTCGTCAAATAAACCAAGTGACGTAATTTTGTGTATAGCGAGATTCAGATACCAGTTCAGTACGAAACACTTCGCCTTTCTAAGAATAATATGGATTGCAAGTTTCGTGAATGTAGATGACCTAACAAGGAAGATAATTATGTTCCGGACAAGTAGTGTTGACGCCTAGCCAGCCAATCAGATAATGCGATGCTGTAATGTGTTCCCTCATAAATGGACGAATAATTAAATTTGTTTTAAAGCGAACTGGATGTTTTATCTAAAGTCGGATATGTAAAGGTAAGATATTATAAGCTATAATTTACTCAACAACTACCTTCCACTGCCTAAAATACAGTAGCATTCACAGTTCCTGCACATTCATGTATAATTATAAAAATGCAATACATCCACTTACAAAGTTGTTACAGCCATCAGCTTTAGATATCTGTACACTTTTAAGATAAACCTGCTAGAAATACATGTATTCGGAAAGCCGTATTGTTTTCTGAGGGACAATGCTCCACGTGCAAACATCCACTATACTGTGTTCAACAGCGAAGTAGCGCCCTCTGTGAATAACGAAAAGCACATGGGTATTTGTTACGGCGTTGACAATTTTCTCATCAATTCAGCGTGACGACTTTGAACACAAATAGTTTCATTCCACTCTAATGACACGGAGTGTAATCCTCCGAGAAGAATGTACCAATTCCATCCATATAAATATTAACTTTCGACGACAATCTTGCGAACAATTAGTAATGTCACACACTTGTCTGTAATTGTTGCGTCACATCAGATACCGACGGTTCGGCAAACTCACTCCCAACTTGCCCACTAGTTCTTTCATTCTTTCCGATAATAAAAGAAATAAACTTAGACGTTTTACATGTTTTCAAGAAATAAGCCTTCTTGTAGACATCCACTTCGAAATAAGAAATGCTATTTCTTCACACAGGGACACAATCCGTACACCTCGTCACGGAATCGTCGGTCGAGGAAACCGTAGATAATAGGATTGACAATGTTGTTGATGATAAAAGCAGTGTAAAGGAACCTGAAGCCCGACAACTCCGAGGGGGTAAGCTCGATCCAGAAGTTCTCATTCCGGGATTCGTAGATCATCAGTCCCACTTTTGGTACATAACACACAATGAACACCAGAGTGATCAACATGAAGATGAGCGACAGTCGCACCCCCGGGGTCATTGAGGGACCAGTGTTTCTGGTTGTCTGATCAATCTTGAGAGCACTTGTACACGTTGTTGATCGCCTTTGGTTGTGTCCAATATTAGAAGAGGACTTTTGATCAGAATCAGAAACCATGTTCAGCGATTTTGCATTGTTGTCGATTGGTGATGAAATGTCAGCTTCTGAGGATTTTTGAGTATCGATTTTAGGCGCACTATTTTTGTCCGGTACTTCTGTGACATATGATAAATCACCAGAATTTGAATTCGGGGATTTAGTGTTTTGTGATCTGTCGTCTGAGGCACCATAAGCGATACCCTGCTTCTTGTGAAAGCGCATCTGCCTGAATGCGACTATTCCTATCAGGACATAGAAGACCACCAGTGACACGAGAATGAAGGCCACCAACAGCATGACAGCAGCCTTGAATACCAGTGGCTGGACTGTTGACCAGGGTCCCCGGACATTGGTACAACGGTATCCTATAGTGAGACTCTCCTCCTTGTACACCTCCTTGGAGCCGTAGAAGAGGAAACAAGGCCAGGACATCACCAAGGAGACGCCAGTAATACAAACAATAGCAATCTTCTTCCAGAACATGTTTATTTGTTTACTGAAAGGTTTACATATTTTTCTATGTCTGTTGATTGCTATGACGACAAGCATGAGCGCTGACATCATAGTACACGTCATATTGAGGAAAAACATTATCTTGCACGCGCTGTCGTTGCTGTATTTCACGGGAAGCATGTTTATGGAGAAACTAAACGAAGTACTTACGACACATGATATTAAATCCACAACGGCCAAAACAGGTATGAAAAAACGTTCTTTCCAGTTAGACTTGAGTCGGACTGTATGTATGTAAATGACGATGGAGTTTCCTAGTACTCCAACGACTAAGTATATCATCAGAATGACGGAATCCGGGACAAGGATTTGAGACAGTTCGTCATTCCAGTCCTCAAGTCGATCCGCCATTACTGACGAATTTGATGGGACATCCATCTTAAATTGTTTACGGTGTGTCTGGTTCAATGCTGTCAACGTTATATCTTTTCAAAAGGAATCCATAAGAAAAATGGCACTTTCCTGAACAGAAAAATAATCCATAATAATAAGTGATTTACTAAACACATGGAAGTTCAAACATTACTTCCTGAACGAGGCAATCTTGTTATGTTGATTGTGTACGAAGAAACGATTAAAGCGATAAAGTTATCTGCAGTCAACCGCAGGATGAAATACTTGTTTTTCCAGTTATTTACACGGATTTGTCTGCGTTCGTCTACAACATATTAAAATCGTACGTAACATAGCGAGCAGATGTGTCGCTGTACATCCGGGGACGTGTGTTTATTTCACTTTAACTTTCGATCACTCTGCATTCAAAGTATGGTTAACTTAGTGCGACATTAAGGCAGATATTTTTCTGTAATTCATGCGGTAGACAGACATGTGTTTTGATTCAAAAGGCAAACAAATACACATTAATACGTTTACTTATAACGAAAATTAAAGTCTTCATTCTTACAATCATGTTGAACGGAAAGATTATCGATGTTTGTGTTCCTCGTTCGCAATACCTCCAGTACAAAAGTCATTTGTCTGCAGTGACCTGGTAGTCTTACCGAGTAAACACGGACACACATATATATCAAATCAAAGACACTAGAAATGTGAATGTTTATTTCATAATGAATACTGGTTTCATACGGAACTTGTTCTTTATCAAAAAGAGACTAAACTACTTCGTATATGTCTTGTACATCTCTTTAATGATATTCAGATTTTAATAAGCGATACTCAGCTATGATGGATGTGTATATGTATGTAGGCTAAATGTTACAGGCGTTGACGGTGAACATTAACAGTAAGTGCAATCGTCCTCTTCTACATCTTTTTATACTGTACTGATATATGTTAACTGTATATTTACACGGAAACTGAAACGAAATGGATCTGTTGGTAAATAATTGTTTAAATGTTCAAAATCTCAAAACTGACCGACCTTCCCTCCTGACAAGTTCAATGTCAATTTACACACCACATTTTATCATTCCTCTCCGCAAAAAAATCCCTCCTTTTTCCAATGTAATTTAAACCAAACAAGCGTTACATATCGGGACGTTCGAAAGTTTCTTGTATGATTTGGATTTATACTGTTATACCCCATCGACAGTTAAAGCATCACCATAAACATCTTTTATCATTTCCCCTACTCTTTATTGTCGCCGGTGGTTCCCTAGGGACCTATCTTCATTGTGACTTTAGCTTTCGCGAAGACTTTTATTCCATTCAAACAACCCAGGGAACAGAACGAAGCGATACCCTTCCAATCTATGGCGAGCGCTCAAAATCAAGACCAAAAGTGAGGTTTGCCAAGTGAGGCGTTAGGAAACGAAACGTAGTTATTCAGTTTGAAGAAGTTGCATAAACCTCTTGTTAGTTCATAGTTATTAGTAATGACATGTAATTTAACCGGTAGAGCTGCTTTAAATATATAGTAAGGAGAGTA